AGATGTTAAAAAAAAAAAGAAAAGAAAAAAGGAAAAAAGGCCCTTGTCAGTTTTGTGCTGTTTAGAAAATGTTATTTTTCCGTTTAAGGTGTTATTTATGTTCATATACAGTAATTTCATTTTAAGTAAATTAATCAGTGAATATTTTAAACTTCTCAATTTCTTGGGGTTTTTGTATTTTGTTTTGAGATGTTACCAGGTAGTTTAGGCTGGTCCTGAATTTCCACCTCTACCTCCCAAGTACTCTACTTACAGAATCGAGTTATTCAATTTCTAATATAGTAAATACCATAAACCACAACTTGCCCAAATAAAAGCTTAAGGAGTGTAAATGGTCACACAGCCAACTCTGAGGCAGCGCATCTTCAGTGTTGGAATAGGAAGGAAAGGACGGTTTGTTGATGTACAAGAATGCTCTCCTTGTACCGCAGCAAGATGGATGCGTGGGGCGTGTGACTCAGTAGTGCTCTCTGTGTCTTGGCTTGGCAGGACTTTGCACTGCTATTCACACTCACTGGTAAAAGTGTCTCGAAATAGATTTAAGTGTCCGAGTTACTGAAGTCCAGCATACGTCTTAGATATCAGAGGACTTCCTGGCGTGTCTATTAAAATAAAGACCTGGTGGGTTATAGTTAGAGAGGGCGTGCTTTTTGTGCAGACCCTCAGATGTTTCCACTCATCACCTGACATGCATCACTGCCCGCGTTTTCCCTGTCTGCGTGAAGGATAGTAGGCCAACTGATTTTAGCATGTTTTCAATGTATGTAGTTTATTGTTGCATTTCATACGGGTTTGTTTATTTCAGAAAACAGCCAAGTTTTCTGTCTCTAATATACATTCACAGTCTTTGAAACAGACTCAAGGCCTGAGGTACAACAAATTCATTTCCAGGAATGCTCTGACAGTCTGAGATGGAGGGCAGGAAGAGGCTGCGGGCAAAATTTCCTACAATTCCCCAAACACCCACCCATTTTCTTGACAGAGCTACCTACCTTTCCCCCTTCATTCTCTCTGCCTGTCTGAGCCATTATTACCTTTTAAATAATGAGAGTGTGGCTCGAAAAAATAAGACTACAAAAGCCAAGTCATTGCCATAAACCACCATCCAGAAGTGAGCCCTGAGGAGAGCTCTTTGTTATATCTCTAGTCAGGAAAGAGAACAATTCGAAATTGCTTTTCAAAATACCATCTACAAAAGTCATATAAGCAGTTGTCTAACCTCATTTTCAACCAAATCTTAAATTGTGAGTACATCAGAGATTCAGTGCAATGGAAGTCATACTAGCTTAGCAGTTTTCAGAGCGATGGAGGAGACGGGAACTTGAGTCCATCCCTGCTGTGGTGAACGCCTCTTGAGCAGTTTGGTAAGGTCTGTCACATCGCAAAGGTGGTTCCCTTCCTTGCTCTGCTCTTAGGAACTGCGTACGTATGCATAGTCTTACAACTTTGCAACCTGGGTACAGCTCTCAAGTCTTTCATGCAGAACAGTTTGCTCTAGCAGAATTTGTGATTTTTACATAACTTTTGCTTTATGTGCGTGCAGGCTTTGTGTGCTTGTATGTGTGATGTGCACCACGCGTGTGCTAGGTGCCCACGGAAGTCAGGAGGCGTGGGGTCCCCTGGACCTGCTGCCGCCCTTTGGGTCAGGTCAGCTGGAGTAGGAGTTGAAACAATTGCACTTTTGTCTTAGGGATGGGGTTGGGGAGGACAACCAGGATTGGAGATTGTTCTTTCTAGGGAAAGGAGTTTGGGTCCCAAAACCAGTTTACCAGCTGATTTGTCTTGCCAACTCTCATACTTTTAATTCTAATCTAATTGTTGCCTGTCTCAGACTTTGCCCTGGGTTTTGCCAGAGTAAGTGGGGTGTGTCTCAGGGAAGTGCTTGCCTGGTGTGTACAGCGTCCTGGGTTCAGTCTCCAACAAGAAAGAACAGACAACTAGCAATACCGAATCTTCTGTAAATGTTATTATGTGAGTGCATGGACGTGGGCAGTAAGAGATCACCTTGTAGTAAGTAATAGGTTCTCACCTTCCAACTTGGGGGGATTGAACTCGGGTTATCACGTCATCTTCTCAGCCATGACTCTAAAACAAAACAAAAGGAAAATTTTATCATTGAAAATTTCAAATATATGCAAAAAGTGGAAGACTAATAAAATTCTCTGTACTCGCTAATCTAACAACTATTTCCCCCTAGTTTTTGTTGTTGTTATGGTTTTGATTTTGGTCTATCCTACTTTTTTTTTTCTCTTGAAGCATTTTGTATTTTAAAAAAGGATATTTTGCTTATCAAAGGGTAGACTTAGGTCTGTTACCTTCTCATTTGATTTGGGAGCCTCATTGATGACAGTTCAGGTAGGCAGAGAGGTCTGCATGAGGAGTTCCAGGGCAGCCAGGGGATACTTAGACTTTCAAAAACAAACAGATACCTTTGAGACATTTTTCTAGCCCAGGCTGACATTGAATTCTCTAGGTAACTAAAGATGACCTTAAACTTGTAACCTTCCTGCCTCCCTCCCAACTGCTGGGATTACAGGCATGAGTCACCAAGTCTAGTTTAAATAAGTGTTTCCAAACGCAAGACACCCCCACCCCCCCAAAGAAAGGTTTTTTGATTAGTTAAAGTAGAAATTCCCAGTTAGACATTAGTTGGCATCTTCTGATTGGATTATAGCTATCAAGGTTTGATTTTGTTGAGGTTGGAGCCATCTAACCCTTGTGAGCTTCTGACTAAATTGTGTTTGTTTAAAATACACCCATAAGTGCTTGAAAGATTTGTGTAGCTACTGCTCAGAAACTGATTGTGTGGCTGGCTGGGTAGCTCAGCAGGTAAAGAAAGGCACTGGTCGCTGATAAAGGGTAACCAGAGTTGATCCCCAGAGCCCACATCGTAGAGGGAAAGAGTTGAACCCTAAGGATCTCACATATCTGTGTGTACAAATACACACAGAAGTAGGTAAACAAATAAATGTAATGATAATTTCTAAATATAGACTGTGGACCCCAATGTCTTAACATAAAGTTGCATTGGCTGCCTTACTAGGAGTGGGGGCCTGGCATTGGGAGCATCTCCTATAGATCAGACTTCACTTTGTAGCCAAGTGTGGTCCTGGGCTCCTGGTTCTCAGCTTCCACATCTGAAGGGATGCTGGGATTGCAGGTGTGCACCACTAAAGGCCAGGTCGTGTAGCCTTCCCTCTTTATTCACTGTGAGTACAGTCAGCATACAGAAAGGGCCGGGTGCCGCCCATCTCTTCAGAACTGCAGGGTTAAAAAACACACTGAGACACACACTCACACACACACACACACACACACACACACACACACAGACACATACAGACACACTGAGACACACAGACATAAACTCACACACTCACACTGAGACACACACAGACTGAGACACAGACTCTCTCTCTCTCTCTCTCTCTCTCTCTCTCTCTCTCTCTCTCTCACACACACACACACACACACACACAGTGTCTTACATCTTTTCTTAACTTGAATTTCTTACCAGTCCCTGCCTGATGCTCGTCACCGCATTAGCTCTTTGCCGGGTTACCACCGCATGTGACACAGGTGGAGTGACTAACCCTGACTCTGACCCGTCCTCTGTAGAGTGTTACTGTTATCCAGTTTGCGGGTGGAAAGGATGGCGTGAAAGACGATGGGTAGCAGCCCAGGTGGCCATGGATTGCAGCTCAGCGCTGTCTAACCCTGCCTGCCACCTCTCTCCATCTGGGTTCTCTCTCCAGCAGTGTCTCCCAGCTGATGCTCTGATTTGGAGGGTTCTCAGGCCACCATCTCTGGCCTCTTCCCACTGCTGTTAAGACACTCACCCACACCCATGACTTAGGAGGAAGCTGTGAGCTTCCAGCATAGAGCAGCTGTGGGCTCTGCCTCTACGGCTTGCTGTCAGGTTGCTGAAGCTTCACTCTGACTCCCCCTCCTGTGTTGTTTGCTCAGATGCTCAGTAGAAACCAGGGAATCGCCTGTAGGTCCCCATCTCCCAGTTCCCACAGTCACCACCCCAACTTAGAGGAGGTCAGCCTCTGCCGCACTGCCCATAAGCACCATTAAACATTGTCAGAATTAGTAATTAGTGGGCAGGGGATGCTGATGGGTGATAGAGCACTTGATTTCAAGTGCGCACCGTGTACTGAGCTCAGTCTCCAACATAACAGATTCTTTATCTGGTGGCACACACCTTTAATCCCAGCACACAGGAGGCAGAGGCAGGCAGATCTCTGAGTTTGAGGCCAGCCTGGTCTACAATAGTGAGTTTCAGGACAGCCAGGGCTACTAGAGAGACTCTTTTTGCAGAAATAATTAAAAAAATAAAAGTAATAAAGACACTTGTTTACTCGGGACTAGGTAGTGTGAATGGGGAATCCCTGGAGATGCCTGAGAAGATGATTTTTGAGTAGGTGATTAGGCGCTAAGTTGTTGGCGGTGAGACCAGAGGTGGAGGGTGTGGAATGGCAGGGCTGCCTTCCATCCATGTCATAAGAGAAGCAGCCATCAGGGAGATGTCAGTTTCCTTAGGCAGTCGGGAAGAAAGTACAAACTTGTAACTAGTTTTAGACCCTCTGTATTGCACCCGGATGGCAATAATCAGACATTGGGAAGAGATGTAGTCTTTACCTCATCATTAACTCAAACCAACAAAGGATTATTGGTTGTTCATTGTAAACCTATAAAAGTTTAAGCATCAAGATGTTTTTTCATTGGGATAGTTTTAGTAGGTAGTGGATGTTACCAACGCATTATGTGTATAATCATACAGAGGTGAAGTTTCTACAACATTCTTTTACCATCCTAGGAATGTTAGCTAACAACACTGAAGCTGTCAGTGTATCCCACGTGCTGAATTAGCGTGTCTCGTGAGTTTTAGTGATGTTACTTCGCTAATGCTAATTTACACCTCACTTTTTATAAGGAGTGTGAGCTCCTGAGCACCTGTTGCATGTGAGGTAATGTTTCTCCTCTTATTTCTCCAGGGCCTATTCCTTGGTGGATTCCAGCCAAGTGTCGACGTTTCTGATATCCATTCTTCTTATAGTCTATGGTAGCTTCAGGTAAGATATTCTCCATGGGGTTATTTTCGGGTATAGGTAAAGGAAACATTGCTCAGTGGAGAGAAATGGGTTTCGTGAGGACTTGAGTTCCAGTGGGAAATTGTAATATTTGTTCTTGGTTGACTGCTATTCAACAGTCATGTTAAACACGTCTTATCTTTGCTTATGAGCTTAGCATACTAATGCAAATATGTAGAAACTAATTGTCTAAAACTCAGCGGGTGGTGACTCACTGGAGAGCAGAGCTTATTGGGAAGACTGAGGGAGAGCCCACCATGGTTCTGCTATCACTGGAATCAGAATTTTACATAGAAAGACAATTCAGAACACACACACACACACAAAAATAGACACTGCAGAATGAATGATAAACACAAAGTGTTAGGTCTTTTTCTATTAACTCCAAATCAAAGTATAGACAGAGAAGGGTCAAGTACACTAAACCACAGCTGTGCTCAGGGAGCTAGTAAAGCTCTCCTCTCGTCCTGAAGGACTGTCTGTCTCATAACTAGCATCTTTGCAGAAATTAGACTGCCCTTACTGTAAAAGCGTGGGCATAGGTTGATCCCTACAAATTCTAATAATAGACTTTTTTTTTAACCTTCAGAAACCATTTCATGTAACTCACCCTGTTTCCAGAGTTGAGTGTGGTGATATTACCAAGCCTCCTCCTCCCTGTTGCCTTTGGGAGTGCTGAGACTGGACCCTGAGGACTATACATTCTTCCTAGCACTCAGCCACATAACTAGAAAACAAAGAAGCAGACAGATGCCCCCTTCTCAGACAGTCTGCCACTGAAGGAACTTTAGTGGGTGTGTGATCAGATCAGTGTGTGTCTGATGCAACCGGAAATGAAGGCTGTGGAGAGCAGGCTCACAGCCAAGAGCACTGCTGCTCCCGCACAGGTCCAGCACCCTACCTGGCCTCCGAGGGCACCGGCACACACGCAGCTTACACCCACAAAGACACAGCACACACACACACACACACACACACACACACACACAATACAAGGGAGAAAAGAAAGGCTGCTTGGGAAATCTGAAGTTAAGAACTTAAATAGCATGAATGATAAGTATATCAGCAAAAGGATTTTGAGCTATCTAATACATCTGGGTTTTGATAAGTACTTTGTAAAAGCATAGACCTGCAGCTCTGTATTAACAGTCATTGTTTGAAGAAAGATGTATTACTGTACTATGTACACTGAGTACAGTTTTAATCACAAAGATGTCTACAGAGGTTCTTTTGCTGGGCGGTTGGCTTTTTTGTTTCTTGTTGTTAGTATTGTTTTGTCAACACAGGCTAGAATCCTCTGGGAAGGAGGAGCCTGTCTTAGATGATTGCTCTATCCGATTGGTCTGTAGGCCAGTCTGTGTGGGCGTATTCCCGGTTAATGATTGGTGTGGGATGGTCCAGCCTCCCAGGGCAGTGCCAGCCTGCACAGGGAGGAGGTCCTGGGTTGTAGAAGAAAACAGCTGTACAAACTATGGAGAGCAAGCCAGTGAGCAGGGTTCTCGGTGACTCTGCTTCAGCCCCGTCCCTCGGGGATGGGCTCTGATGGGATGTGTGGGCCAGGTAAACCCTTGCCTTCACTGACTCGCTTCTGGGTGTTTTCCTGGCAAAGTAAAAATAGGACACAATTTTTATTTGTGTATGTATTTACTTTGAGACAGAGTCTCTCTGCACAGCCCTTGATGTACTTGAACTCATAGAGGTCCACCTGCCTCGGCCACCCAAGTGCTGAGGTTAAAGATGTGCTCCACCATTGCCCAGCAAGGACACAATTTTTTTTAAATCACTTCTAAGAAGCAGGACAATTTAGAACCTTACCAGCATGATCAATATTGTCAATATTTTGTATTTCTACCCCTAATATTTTATCTTTTTTCTCTACTTACCCAACATTTAAAACAAAACAAAACTTGAAATTCAAATCAGAAAGAGCCATCTTTGGGATTACACCTCACACCACTTTCATTAGTGGAAATTAACCAGCCCACATACATGTCATGTATGTGCTCTCTCTGAAATAAAGATTTATAAGGTGAAGTACTTAACCAGAGAGTATGAGCTGTCTCTCCCTACTGTATGCTGCCATATTTCCAGAAAATTGCAACAGTTTAGGATTGGGCTGATTTTCACATTGTATTAGAGAGAGTAACATAAAGTTGTCCTACAGGGAGATGGGAGACAAGCTTTTAGAGTCTGAGATCTCTCTCCAGCCCATTTCCTCTCTTTGAGACAGGGACTCAGTATGCTGTGCCCTTACTGGCCTGGAGTCTGCAGCGTAGACCAGACTGCTCTCCAGCTCACAGAACTCTGACTTCCTGATCCATAGTAACTCCTAGTCTCTCTCTAGCTGTCCCTGCTCTAGACACCCCAACCATGGTTTCTTGTGACCGTTTGTCATTGTCTGCTGTTTTTAAGGACATCCATGTCATAGCCTGTCTGTATTTCAGTCCTTTGTATTGCTGAGTAGCTCTTTGGCTGGCTGGCTGCTGCTGTGTTGGCTGTTACAAATAATGATGTGAGTGCTTGTGTATGAGTGTTGATGTGAACGCATGTTTTCATTTCTCTTCAGTAGCAGAAATTCTAGGTGATATGGCAATTCTTTGATTTAACATTTTAAGAATTGCTACTGTTTTCCAAGGCATCTATACCACGTGATGTTCTCACCAGCACGGTATGAATATTCTCTTTTTAGGGTTTTCTTTGTTTTTGCTAGCATTATTAATCCACTATGTGACTTCCGTACCTGTCACTCGATATTCCCTCCTTAGTCACCTGTGAACACATCGCTCTCTTAGCCCCTCTGATTGGCTCCAGTCTTCTTTTCAAATAGCCTTTCTGCTTCCATGCTTTTCTTGATTATGCTATTATGGTTCAGTCTAGACTTGGCGTGTAAAAGGAAATGTGATTTTGGTGTTTCTCAGTCCGGTTAATTATGCTTAATATAATGAATTCTACTTTTACCTATTTTTATGAAAATATTATAATTTCATTACCTTAATGGCAAAATTGTGTGTGTGTTGGTTCATTAAGGGACATCTAAGAAAATGTGTGTGACCTGCCTATTGCCACACATTGGTGTGGAGGTATCTCTGTTGTGTGCTGACTTAGATTCCTTTGAGTCTGTAACTAGAAATGGAGCATCAGGATCATACTGCAGTTACATTTTTCATTTTTTAAAGAACCTGCATGGACTAATTTACATTCCCACCAGCTGGGTACACATAATGTTTTCCTTTCCCTCCTGTATCCTTACCAGCATTTGGGCTTGTGTGTGCTGTTTGTTTGGTGCTGGGAGCACCATTTCCTCTACCTGTGGTCGTCATTCTTCTGTTATCCTCTAGGTGTGAAGTGGTTCCTCATTATGGCTCTGGTTTGCATTTCCTTGGTGATTTACTGTGTACAGCATCATTTCATGTGTTTTATCATCCATGTAGACGTTTGTGGTACCCATCCCCAGCCCTGGGTTCAAGTGCAGGACCCTGAACATGCAGTACTTGCTCTGAGTCTCTTCCCCCATTTCAATCTTCCTAGTGTTGAGTGTAAGCACTCTTTACATACTGTGCAGACATTTTTTCTTAATTCCCCTTTCTATATATTTGTAATTAAATATTTCCTGGTGGACTAACCTTTGTAAAGCATTCCTCTATACCAATGGTTCTCAACCTGTGAGTCGAAACCCCTTTGACAAAGCTCTTTCTCCAAAAATGTCCACATTATGATTCAGGTATGGAGTAGCAATGGAAATAATTTTATGGTTGGGGTCAATGACAATGTGAGGAACTATATTAAAGGTTGCAGCATTAGGAAGGTCAAGAACCACTGTCTAGATTTTCTAACAGTTGTTGTGTTAATGTCTTACCATGCCTGATGTTAGTATACCCACTCAAAGTCTTTTTATTTATCGTCAACTTTCAAGAATTTGTTAAATATATGTCAGAGTTGAGCTACAATGACAGATTTAAACATGAGTCTAAGGAATCCCAGAATTCTTTTTTTAACTTTTTAAAAATTATGTGTATATAATGGGATACATGCACATATAAGTACATTGTTTCATAGCTCTCTTCCTTGGAGACATTCAAATAAATGAATGTTTGTTAAATGGCTCTTAATGCCCTTTGATAGAAACATTTTGAGAAGTATGTCAGCCAAAATTGAGGGAACACAGCCAACAGCAGAGGTTCTGGAGGACAGGGCTATGGCTGTCGATCCAACACTTCCTCTTAAACACAGTGGTGATCCAGACATTTATGTTGCCAGGTGGGTACTGATTCATTGTCTTCACTGCTCACAGCACCTTGGCAGACCTGACCAAGCCTTGTGCACACCTGAGTTTCTCTTATTCTAAGGCATGCAGTGTAGGTTTCTACAACAGGCCAAGGACTTTGCTCAGAAAATCCTTTAGAGTCGAAAGAATGCGTTGATTCCTAAGAGTTGATGGGGTGAGGGTGTAACTCAGTATAGAAACTTGACTTGCCTGCCACGTTAGCCCTGGTTTTGAGCTGTCAGGCCATAAATTATTAAATTTTTGATGTATATATGGTGCCTGTATGTGTTATGTGGGTGAGTACATGTGTAGGTGTACATTATGGTAGATTTCTGATAGCATTCCACCTTATTTCTTAAGAAACCTGGAACTCATCGATTTGGGTAGGTTGAGTAGCCAGTAGCACTGGGGCTGTAGACTGTCCTACTGCACCTGACCTTTACTCTGGTCCTTGGGATCTGAACTCAGGTCCTCTCCCCAGCCCTAATTAATTTCAATAAAATTCTATTTCTTTATCTTTAAACAAAGAAAAAAATGTAACTAGATCTCTACCTCAACCTAAATAAACCCTGACTGAGACATTCAGTGAGTTAAACTACTTCCTACTATAGTGTTAACGATAAACCCTTGTCATGACCATATTCTATTTGATACTAATTAGTTGGCCTTTGGATTCCAGTCAGCTCAGGGTTGCACCATAGCATCATGCCAAAGGTCT